CCACTTCATGCCAGCCATAATCCCAAACTAGGCTAGTCCCACCTGCCTGCTCCTGGTCCATATCCATCCAAACATTTCTTATTCATGCATTTATCCAAATGTCTTTTAAATGTTGTAACTGTACTCATATTCACCACTTCCTCTGGAAGTTCATTCCACACACGAACCATTCTCTGTGTAAAAAAAATTGACCCTCATGCTTTTTTTAAATGTTTCTCCTCTCACTTTAAAAATATGGTCCATTGGCTTGAAATCGCCCACTTAAGGGAAGAGGCACCAGCCATTCACCTTATCTATAGCCCTCATTATTTTATAAGGTCGCTCTTCAACTTCCTATGCTCCAGTGAAAAAGGTCCCAGCCTATCCAGCCTCTCCTTATTACCCAAACCCTCCATTCCTGGCAACCTCTTGGTAAGTCTCTTCTGAACCCTCTCTAGCTAAATAATAACATTCCTAAAACAGGGCAGATCAGAACTGGACACAGTACTCCAGAAGAGGCCCCACCAGTGATCTCTGTTCAAGAGAGTGCCAAGAAATAGATTAATGTAATAAGATGGAAATACCTTCTCAACAAGCACTGAAAGCAAACAAGCTCAAAAATTCAACAGGGACCAATGTACTTTAATTTTTATGTATTTTTCAATCTAGAAATGGTTGGAAAAGAAGATCCATTTATAACTTTAACAATCTTGTTGATTTAGAGAGAATTGTGTAAAAATGCACAGGGATGCAGATTGCATAATGCAGAGACAGAGCAGAACTTGCCAGGCTTGTTGCGATATTGGTGATTAAAGCAATAATAAGTGGCCTAATCAAGTAGTATGTTGAGGTATACTTAAAGATCATGAGCTGCATGGTTTTATGAAAAGAGGAAACATAATATTAAATCAACGTGATATGTCATGGCATGAAAATGTTTTGCATTACATTTTTTGAGCATGACTTCACGTAGGCACTAAAACAAACACACCCATTCCACAGGTAGTTAATAAGATATAAACAACAGAAAAATACAAAACAGGAGGAATTTTGCTTGCTGCTTATGGTGCTTTCATTTTGAACAGGAAATGGACTTGTATTGTTTAAAATGAACAGAGAGAGAGAAACACTTTATGGTGTTTGACCAATGTTCACTCCAGTGAACGACTATAAATTTAGTCAGTTTGAGGTGGAATTGTGTGATTAAAGTTCAATAGGCTGTTTGTCCAGAAACTGCCAGTAATTTTTTTTTGTAAGTGGGATAAAGTTTGTCGTGCTAATTGTCAGAGACAATAACCATATGAATCACATTAAAAAAGGGTGTGTCTCCATAATGAGGTGCCTTTACCATGACAACCTCCACCTTTCTCATTATGTAGAAGTTAAACCAATACTTTTGTGAGTGCTTATTAAATATTTTACAATCCGTGTTGCAAACTGTATTAATTAAAGAACAGGTTTATGCCACTTTTTTTTTCTCCCGTCATTTTGGCTCTCTTGGTACCATTTTATGATCTCAAAGTCAACAATTCTGTGACTTGTTGATAGGGGCTAAGAACAGAAAAGCCATTTCCTCATATTGATGGACTTTGACCCACAAATAAGGCAAATACCTCGCAAACTGCTCAGAGTGCATTCTTTACAGTCTTCTTGCTTGTTCTAAAGAAAATAGAAAATTCCTTTGAACTAATGTGCATCAGTTTGATTTGCCAGATAAAAGCTATGGGATATCATCAGAACAAAGTTGATGTGATCTCTCATCTGGTGCATCTTATAAAATTCCAGTTCTTTCTCAAACTTATATCGTCATAGAGTCATGTTGCACAGAAACAGACCCCTCGGTTCGACCAGTCCATGCCAACCATGTTCCCAAACTAAACTAGTCCCAGCTGCCTGCTCCTGGTCCATATCACCTCAAACCTTTCCTATTTATGTACTTATCCAAATGTCTTTTAAATATTGTAACTGTACCTGCTTCCACCACTTCCTCTGGCAGTTCATTCCACACACTTACCACATTCTGTGTAAAATAGTTGCACCTTGAGTCCTTTTGAAATTTTTCTCCTCTCACCTTAAAACTATACCCTCTAGTTTTGAACACCCCCCACACTAGAGAAAAGACCCCTGTCATTCACCTTATGTATGCCCCTCATGATGTTATAAACTTCAACAAGGTCACCCCCAACCTCCTACGCTCCAGTGAAAAAAGTCCCAGTCTTTCCAGTCTATTTATATCTCAAACCCTCCATTCCCGGCAACATCTTGGTAAATCTTTTCTGAACCCTCTCCAGTTTAATAAAATACTTGCTATAATAGGGGGACCAAAACTGCACACAGTACTCCAGAAGAGGCCTCATCAATGTCCTATACAACCTCAACGTAACATCCCAACTCGTATACTCAAAAGTGTGAGCAATGAAGGAAAGTGTGTTAGATGTCTTCTTAACTGCCCTACACATCTACCTGTGATGCAAATTTAAAAGAATTATGTACCCAAACCCCTTGGTCTCTCTGTCAACAACACTACCCAGGGCTCTACCATTAATTGTATAGGTACTGCCCTTATTTGTATTACCAAAATACAACATCTCACATTTATCTAAACTCCATCTGTCATTCCTCAGCCCATTGATTCAATTTATCAAGGTCTCCTTGTAATCTTAGATAACCTTCTTCATTGTCTACTATACCATCAATTTTGATGTCATCTGCAAACTGACTAACCATGCCTCCTATATTCTCATCCAAATCATTTATATAAATGACAAACAAAAGTGGACCCAGTACCGATCCCTGAGGAACACTGCTGGTCAAAGCTGGATGACTGCAGGATGTGAGATAACAAGGTGTAGAGGTGGATGAACACAGCAGGCCAAGCAGCATCAGAGGAGCAGGAAAGCTGATGTTTCGGGTCTAGACCCTTCTTCAGAAATGGGGGAGGGGAAGGGGGTTCTGAAATAAATAGGGAGAGAGGGAGAGGCGGGTAGAAGGTGGATAAAGGAGAAGGATGTTGTCAGTACTAAGATAATTAAATCATTCACTTAACCTTCGCTGACTCCAGGCAAACAATGAAAACCTTTGTTTTCTGCACCCAGTTCTGTTTACAATAAAGTTTGAAGTCCAGCTGCTTTTGTCATGTACCCTGTAAAAATAATATTTTGAAGTTATCAGAATGTAATATTTTGAACTTACCTTTAGGTTTTGTTTTCCACTCCCAACAATCCCCTGAATAGATTATTTGCTGCTCTCACATCAAACTTGTGGGATAATCTGAGCTATGGCTAATGCCCGCCGTGCCAATTCGTGATGGTGCAAAAACATCACCTTGGCTTTCGTTGGAATGACGTGAAAGGGTCTCTCCCCCGTCTTGAGAATTCTCTGCAGTTTGTGCCGTCCCAATTAGTGGCTCTGCTCAACAGCACCTTGCAAATTCATTCGGCTGAATCTCCTTACCCGACAGATGTTTAACTCCTTGTGAAAGCCAATTGTACAAATCCAAAAGAACAATAAGTCAACAGTCTGAGTGCTGGCAGGACTGGGATTCTGAGAACCTAGGGGTAATATTTGTTAGTGCTGGACATCAGACATGAGCCAACCACAGAGTATGCCCCCAGGGACAGAATGGGTATGAAGACCAATATCGAGTGTTCCTTAAAGCCTGGCTTCAACTTGCACATTTCTACGCAGCATGGGAGGGTATATATTGTAGGCTTGCTTAGAGTGGTCCTTGGAGATTAAGGTGAGGAGGGGGGAAGGGACGAGAGAGATGATCAGGAAGGATCTGGAGAGAAATCAACAAGAGGCTCCTGTTTGTCCATGAGCCCCTGATATCAGTGAGGGCTCAGAACAGATACACTTCAGCTCCTCTTAATATATGACGTGAAATGTGAGATGCACACAGGACAACTCCCTGGCTGTTTGAAGCCTTCCCAAATAGGACAGGATGTTGGGGGGCAGATGGGGGAGCAGGGAAGGGATTAGAGGTGTGTGTCAACAAATCCCTGGTCCCTAACACATCGACTGGTGTCTGTATTGCACCTGACATGATTAGGTATAAACGGGAAGCTGACGTTAATGGAGCTCAGTCACTTTAAACAGGGCAATCTATCATTTCGACAGTGTTCCCTCAATGGACAGTACCAGCAGGTTTTGTTCAATGGCCGATTGCGCCGAGGGGGATTTTCAGAAAAGTTTGAGTTTCTAGAAAAGTTTTCTTCCAGTCATTTTTCTCAGGTCATTGGCTGAAAGTATTAAAATTCTGAGCACATTTGTATGGAACTACCTTGCCTGCTGTTTTATGTGATGTTAACTTGTTTATCAGCAGGTTAGTATTTGCACTAAAATGTTGAACAAATTAAACAAGTGAAACACATTAAGCATTCATACAGTAACACCACACTTAGACAGAGTATTTTGTGCATTTGCATTCTTGTAGCGTTTAATATGTATTATTTTCTATAAATATCTGGTGTCTAACCCATCATCTTCAGTACTGTGCATATTACCCAATATTACATTAAATTCCTGTATAAATTAAATTTTTCTTTACAAGTTAGGGAAAGCCCATTAGTGTGCAGAGCAGCACTTGGCTTCTTAGAAAGAGCAGACTTTGTGGCTGATGGGTTTTCTCCAATTTCATACATTCTTGCTTCTTCATTCTCATTGCAACACCTTAAAAAAAAATGGAATTAAAGGTATATCAGTAGGCGGTTGTGGCTTTGTTAGACTCCAGAGAGTCTGTGCAGATTTAACCAAATTGAAGAATTGTGCACAGGGTGTGGCATTTATTATGGATTATTACACAGTGCTTTATGCAAATGATTGGAATGGGGAGGCCAATAATCCTCAGCCACTGGTTTCTTTTTAGACCAATACCCTGGTTAAAGTGCAACAAAAAAATGTCCTTGTGGAACAAAACTGTTGAATGTCTTTGTTCGTGTTTGAGGGATTGTGAGGTAGTCTGTAACAGTGGTCCAGCATTGGAAAGCAACTTCTAGCCCAGTCTTCATCATCAATTTGAAGACTTGTTGCTGCCTAGAATTTCAGGACGTCCCGCAGCTCAGTTTTGGCCCAATTCCAAGAGGAACTTGATCGTAGCAGTTGGGAGTGGACTGCAGAGAATGGAAGAGATTTGGAGGGATTTTGGAATGAGAACAAGATGATTCCAGCATATTCGGATCTTTGGGCCATCTCGTAACTTTGCTTTTGTGGTAAATACATTTTCTGTGAGGGCTGGGGATGTTGATGGAATCAATGTTTGTAGAAAACCTATCTTTGTCACCCTTAGTTGATGCAACAGCTCAATTATTTGCTTAGCTTGGGTTTCTTGATAAAGGCACTATTGAGACGTATTCAGAATAATTAATGGATTTGAAATTTCAGTTTTCCTGTCAAAATTGCTCCTCACTTTGATATTTCCCATTCTCAGCCCACCAGCAGCTGACTGAACCTGTGTATTGCTTTGTTGGATGGAGTGTGGTGACAATGTGAGCTGTTTCGATGTGTCATTATTATAGGAAATACCAGCAATGAATCATTTTGGTTGAAATTGAAATGATTCTGGATGGGAATCAGCTGTCAGATTCCAAGCTTCTGACATTTCTTTTGATGCAAATGCTGTAGTGAAATAATTCTGGAAAACACAAGACTAACTTAACTGCTGTCATCCGTCATCCATCAGTATGATAACACTACGGAGGTCTAACTTCCCCAACCTTCTCGGTTCTTTATGCTTCTACTGTTAAAGTATGGATCTCAACAAATTATTTAATTATCTAATTCAGCACTTCCCAAACATTTTCACACTCAGAGCCGATGTTGAGGCTTGAGGGTGTCATGAGCCCTTAGTGAGAATCTTGAGGGTGGGGTTCGGGGGCAGGGGGGCGGGGTGGTGGGGAACCTGTGGAGGTGGGGAAACTGCTGGGCCTGTCAGACCAATGAGGATGGGGGGAGAGAAAGACAGAGTCAGAAAGAGGGAGAGAGCTGGGCCTATTGGAACATAGAACATAGAACAGTACAGCACAGTACAGGCCCTTCGGCCCACGATGTTGTGCCAAACTTTTACCCTCAACCTAAGGTCTATCTAACCTCCACCCCTACCTTATACTATCATCCATATGCCTATCTAATAGCTGCTTAAATGCCCCTAATGAGGCCGACTCCACTACCCTCTCCGGCAATGTATTCCACACCCCGACCACTCTCTGAGTAAAGAACCTACCTCTGACGTCTCCCCGATATCTACCTCCTTTCACTTTAAAACTATGTACCCTCTACCCCAGGAAAAAGTCTCTGGCTGTCTACTCTATCTATACCTCTGATCATTTTGTACACCTCTATCAAGTCACCTCTCAACCTTCGTCGTTCTAAAGAGAAAAGCCGTAACTCTCTCAACCTTTCCTCCTAAGACCTACCCTCCATTCCAGGCAACATCCTGGTAAATCTCCTCTGCACCTTTTCTAACGCTTCCACATCTTTCCTGTAATGAGGTGACCAGAACTGGACACAATACTCCAGATGTGGCCGAACCAGGCTTTAGTATAGCTAAACAGTGAGGATGGGGAGAGAGGGAGAGGGAGAGAGAGAGCTGGGCCTGTCAGACCAGTGAGGATGAGGGGAGAGGGAGAGGGAGAAAGAGAGAGAGAGTAGCGCCTGGTAGAAGAGTCAGGATGGGGGGAGAGGGAGAGGGAGAAGGAGAGAGAGAGTAGGGCCTGTTAGAAGAGTGAGGATGGGGGGAGAGGGAGAGGGAGAGAGAGAGCTGGGCCTGTCAGACCAGTGAGGATGGGGGGAGAGGGAGAGGGAGAAGGAGAGAGAGAGTAGGGCCTGTTAGAAGAGTGAGGATGGGGGGAGAGGGAGAAGGAGAGAGAGAGCTGGGCCTGTCAGACCAGTGAGGATGGGGGGGAGAGGGAGAGGGAGAAAGAGAGAGAGAGTAGGGCCTGTTAGAAGAGAGAGGATGGGGGAGAGGGAGAGGGAGAAGGAGAGAGTAGGGCCTGTTAGAAGAGTGAGGATGGGGGGAGAGGGAGAGGGAGAAAGAGGGAGGGAGCTGGGCCTGTCAGACCAGTGAGGATGAGGAGAGAGGGAGAGGGAGAAAGAGAGAGAGAGCCGGGCTTGTCAGCTTCTGTACCTCAGTCAGAACTCCACAGCGGCCATTACTGCCTCAGGGCTTATAGCTCATGACCCTGCTTGGGAACTTGACCCTTACACATCCCCGCCAAACAGTTTGGGGACCCCTGATCTAATTAAAAATGTCACTCATTTGAAACTGAGAAACAAAGGCATTTCTTCCCTCAGCATGTAGTAAATGTCTGGAATTCTCTGCTCTGGAGAGTTGTGGAGGCTCAATCACTGAAAGTGTTTAAAGAGGAGGGAGAAAGATTTTTGTAATTTCAGACAGTTGAGGCGCTGTGAGGAGCTGACATGATCTAGGGGTTGATAGGACAGGCCTGAGGGGCCAAATGGCCTAATCCTGCTCCTGTTTCTTGTGTTCTGATATAATTTAAGACGAAGCTTCTAACAGCTTTTTAATATGCAGCCTCAAAATCCCTCTAGTTTGCTCTGCATCACTTTACAAGAGTATATTATTTTATATTTTATAGTTTTTCATGTGCATTGTCACAAAAACCAAGAGACAAAACCACAAATATTGTCTCATAGTTGGGATGGGGGTCCACAGTGTGGGCTATAGAAGCATAGAAATTTGGATCAGGAGGAGGCCATTCAGCCCTTTTTTGCCTGCTCCACCATTCAGTATGATCATGGCTGATCTTCCGACTCAATTCCCACTTTCTCCCCGTATCTTTTGATCCATTTAGCCCTGGGAACTAAATCTAACTCCTTCTTGAAAATATTCAGTGTTTTGGCCTGAACCAATTTCTGTGGCAGAGAGTTCCACAGTCTCACCATTCTCTGGGTGAAGACATTTTTCCTCAACTGAAGGATAGCTGCCATCAGGATGCCTCGGAATTGTATTAGATGTGCCTCGGTGTCACTCCCCTCCGCTATCCTGGAGCGCACACCCTGGAAAGTACCTCGGCCAATGACCTTGGCCAATCAGGATGGGAGCACCCTCTAAACCCTTGATGATGCCATTTTCAATGTCTTCCTTTCTCGTCATCTTCACCAGCTGAATAGAATCGCAAAGTACCATGATTGAGAATTAACTTTATGAAACATTTCTTCGACAGATGAAGAAATATTTATCCGTTTGAAACCACTCATGGATGTAATATGGACAGTAACATTGGTTAGTGCAGAGTGACCTTCCATAGCTTAAGACCTGGTGACAAGACCTGCTTACAAGCGCTGAAGGACAGGTAAGCTTCATACATTACAACAGATTGAAAAGATGATACATTGAGGCTGTATTTAAGTCGTAAAGACAGTGCTGAAGAAAATTATTAATGGCACTGAATTAATCAATAGCCTGCTGTAATAGAAAAATGAAAACAATAATTGGTCTTAACTTTGCATAATACAAGCAATATTTTCAAATACGATCAACTGTTTTGTAAACACATTGTGTATTTAACAGCCTCTCTCTCTGAATCGTAAAATTCTAAGAATTGGGAGCTTGATTTTTGCATGAAGCAGAATACTGAGGGGAAAGAATACAATGCATCGGCTCAGATAGAAACTTATTTGCATTAGTTCATTAGAAATGACTGCATTGGGCTGGATCGGACCATTTACAACAATAATTTCCCTAAGTGCCCTAAGTCTCTGAAGAAAACCAATCAAAGTAAGGGCTTGAAGTTTCCATCTCCAACCTCCAGGAGGAGGAATGTGTGTGGCAGTGTGTCATTGGTATCATAGTTTTAGCAAATCTGCAAGAGCATTGAAAGGGGGTCATGAGGAATCAAAGCTGCCGATGCAGGAGCAAATGGATAAAGTCCACCTTCCCATTCATTTCTGAAGGCTTTGAAGCAAGTGGTTGAGGTGTGGATCAGATACAATCCAACTGAATGATGGAGAAGGCTCATGGACTGAATGGCCTGGTCCTGTTGTGCTGTGAGGACAAATATTATAGGAGTGCTCTGAATGGAAAGAGGGTATTGGTTTCATTGATCTTTTAGTACATCAGCTGATATAGACACTGATAATCCCCAAATGCAGAAAATCTTTGCACATTGAAAAATTGAGTGTATTGTATCTCCCACCTAGAATCAGGGATTTTGATTGTTCCTTTCCTTTAGCTCCACTGATTCCATTTATTTGAGCATTCAGATTCATTTCTTCATTAAAATACATAAATTATAATCATTGTAGAGGCCAAAGACGCTCCTTTCTGTTTTATATTTCTTCTGGCACATATCAATGCAAAATACTGCGCATGCTGGAGATCTGAAATAAAAACAGAAATTGCTGGAGAAACTCAGCAGCATCCATGAAGAGAGAAACAGAGTTAACGTTTTGAGTCCAGTGAGCCTTCTTCAGAACTGAAGGAGGATGGAAAATGACATGAGGAGTATCATTATCAGTTATTCCTGTCAGCGCTCAGTGCTATAGGTCAGGCATAGGAGGAGATAAGTGACAGATAAACCTTCAATCAACGTACTCTTAATGACACCCGCAAGGCACACTGTCTCAAGATTTCCCAACCAGTTTCAAGAATAACTAAACATTTTATATCCCAACAGTGTAGGCTTGAGCTAGTTTCTAATCTCTTTTCTAAAAGGAATAATTTCCTCCTCTGTTGAAAGCAGTTACAGGATATAATTTAGCAGCAGCCTGGGAATACCTGACCAAATGCACCTACTTCATGTTGATTTCATGAGCAGGCTGTTCAACTGCTGTGGCATCACAGCCAAGCCAAATCCTGTCCTCAAGCTCTATTCTCACGAGCATCTCACTGGATAGCAGCGAGGCACATGATTCTTGGCTGGTTTCCCCTCAGCCTTGCTGGGGGACGAAGGACATTCACAGGATTAACTGAGTCAAAACATTAGAAATCAAAAATGGGAACTTTCCGCCGTGTGGAGCAAACAGCATTTTTAACTTTGATCAGGAAGTTGACTGATAGATTGTCCAAAGAACTTCCCTATTATTGTAAATATAAAACCTTGTTTCTGCTCTAAATACATTAGTTTGTTTACAGCAAATTTTAGTTGTTAATGCCGATTTTGAAGGGTGCAGGAATACATTTTGTTATTCGCAGATTTTCATTTGCATAATTCATTCAAGTGTGGGGCCTGGGACTAATTTCTTACCTCAGTCGATCTCCAGGACTGGTTCAGTCAGAAAATAATTATTGATATCAAATAAATTTGTCACAGGTTCATTTCAGCTTCTGATTGCAGAAACTCACAGGCAGACATTTGTCTTCAAATTTCCACTGCAACCAATGAAAAGAAGGATAGAGTGGGTCAGTGCAGTGTGAAGTTAGCATGAAGCCTGGTCCCTAACACCATTGCAATTGATTCATCAAAGAAAACCCAAGAGTTGGAGCGTAGAACCAGCAGTACAACAAGTTATTGAAATATATAGCCGTACCTGACCATAATTTTAACTTTAATCTCTAGTAATGGGATTTCAAAATGGCTGACAAAACCCCCTGTGAACTGTAAAGGCACTTTGCAGGAAGCTAAAGGACATATCAGTGGGCCCTTTATTTTTGTTGTAGCTGAAATGAAGGTGATAGCGATAGCCTTAAAACATTGCTCATTTTCTGTTTTATTTTGTAGCTTATCGATCATTATTCACTGATCACAATTGGTTCTGTAACTCTGGCATGGTCACAGGGTAAACCCCAGTCAGCAATGTGTCAATTGAGCATCTTCTAATGTATCCCTTTCTTACGTGCACATCCAGTGTAATTGTCCCATAAAATATATGGAAAATGATTCACCCTTCAACTGTATGCTGAAATGCCAACAAGATCCAGAGCAGAGTTTGGTTTCTATTCTGTTTTAAAAAGAAATGCTATTTTAATCCTTACCAGGTTAAGGAGTTAGATATCCTTTGATAATGTGATCAGAGAACACATGTAGAAATGTATTTTACTCACCTTAACCTTGTCACAGGGGGTGCTTAGGATATATTTAATGAAATATTATGACAGCTGTGTACCAAATAGAACAGCCGCTATCCTTAATTACAGGTCTTCAAACAGAAGTTTGTAGCAATCCAAATGTATTTGTAAAGGAACCACATAAAACGTCGTTACAATTATAATTCCTTGAATGTTTTTAAACAAGTGTCATATCGCTTTAATTTTCTTTGACAGTTTCAAATTACAATTATGGTATGCCAATAAAGAGGGATTCTGCCAATGAGGGGAATGGCTGTCATAACATGTCGAAGCCAAACAAAAAAAACAGAGAAAAGCTTTCTTCTGTAAAATACTCATTGTTTCCATCTAAAGTGTGTTTGGTTTAAAATGTTTAGAATACAGCTGTTCTGTCCTTAAGCCTTGACAAGAGGACTCACTGACAAGAGGTTAATGGGCTACTTGTTTATCTCAATGCCTGGCCTTAATCTTATACCATTCAGTGTTAGAACCTACTGCCAGCATTGTCACCTCTTTTGTCTATAGTATGCAATACATGTTCAAAGGGAGTTCTGTACTGTGTTTATACTGTAGCTTAAATTGCCTGGCTTAATTAATGTCACTCACACTTTCATTTGTAACCATTCAGACCATTCCCAAATTGCCTGAAGGACTGTAAAGCTGTCAGGACCCAATAACAGTTCTTCTAGTTGTTTGCTGCTCTGGTCAATTCCTGTTAAGTGAATAATTTATTTGTCAGTACATTTTATTCACTTGCTGAGGATTCTCATTTGCACGGTTATGTTTAGCGTTTTCAACAAAAAAAAGCCCCCTTAAGAAGCACTTATCCCATCCATTCTGCAACCTGCCACTCTTTTGAACAGGGATCTGTGGTGTCTTAACAAGAAGCAATGATGATAGTTCCTAATCACCTGTACATAGGCGAAATATCGCAGCCGTTTCCAAAACTGATTGTGAACCGGATTCTGGAGAGTAATTGGGATCTCTTCCTGCCCAATATTGGGGGCATAGTTACTGGCAACAATAGTGCTCTGACTGCCTTCCTCTGTTTCTTTGAGGTAGATATGTTCTTGATGTCAAAGGGAATGATAGATTATCAGGGATTATGCAGGAATGTAGAGTTGCGGTTAGATCAGCCATTAATTTATTGAATAGCAGAGCAGCTCAAAGGGCTGAGTAGCCTAGTTCCTTGTTTGTATGTTCATATTCTCTGCTTCATCACATTCAAATACTCATGGCACGTTGTAAAATTCATAAAGCTTCTTTAAGGCTTTCCTGGGGCACTATAAGCTAAATACTCCAGAGCAGAGCAAGACTGGGTAGAACTGTAGCTGGAATAAACTCTGAATGAGGTCTTTACTGTACAAGGAATTCCCTACCAAATGTTTTCAATTAACATGGAATGAATGTAACAATTGATAATTTTTTTGTTTCAATTTATTGTCAATGAAATAAATGCTTGCTAACAGCATGGAATGAACTGTAAAGAGCTGATTCCCCACCCAGATGTTCCAGTACTGTTTAGTCTTTATTTGGCTAGTAGATTTACATAATTGCTGTAATTTCATTAAAAGTGACCCATGCTGCACCTATTTATTCATTTGTGTAAAAGCATGCCTGAGCATACTGTACACATGGATATACCCCTTGGCGGATTGCCACATACCTCTAGCCACACTATATTCATGAATGACACTACCTGCTCATTAGATTTGCACAGCCGTTTGGACAGTTGAATCTGTAAATGCATCACTCATCTAAAAAACAACGACACTTGGATCAGAATTTCCACAGACAATTTATAAACCATAAAGTGAAAAAGGGCCAAATTGAAATAGTTGCACCTTGGCTTAATTAATCCCATCCGATGAAGCCAAATGTAAATTTAAGCCCCATTATGATACAATATTAATGTTTCACAAGAGGCTATTAGTGACATGCTGGACTGAACATAGTCACAGTGGTAAGCAGCAAAAGTGTGAATAATTGGGACAAACTGACTGAATCTCCACTATCTGTGGAATCATAGAATTTTAGATGGTGGAAGAAGAATGGAGGGGGCGTGGTGGGTTGGAATTCCACATCACCGGCTTAATGGAGAAAGATTTGGTTGGTCTTTGGTTGGTAAGTGTGATTGAGTTTGAATTATATTGGATTCTGCGTAGTGCCTGGGAATTCCTGTAGTTTGTTATATTGAAATCCAAATTATAAGATTGAATGCTTGGTCCATTGAATTTCTATTTATGTGGATTTCAAAATTCTAGTCTTTGTCTCCAAATCCCTCAAAGGCATTGCCATATATTCTCT